TATTATTACAAGTGTGATGTTAATTGTGTGAAGTGTATTCACTGTTACAAGTGTGATGTTAATTGTGTGAAGTGTATTTATTATTACAAGTGTGATGTTAATTGTGTGAAGCGTATGCACTATTACAAGTGTGATGTTAATTGTGTGAAGTGTATTTGTTATTACAAGTGTGATGTTATTTGTGTGAAGTGTATTTACTATTACAAGTATTATGTTATTTGTGTGAAGCGTATGCACTATTACAAGTATTATGTTATTTGTGTGAAGCGTATGCACTATTACAAGTGTGATGTTAATTTGTGTGAAGTGTATGCACTATTACAAGTATTATGTTAATTTGTGTGAAGTGTATTTACTATTACAAGTATTGTGTTAATTTGTGTGAAGTGTATTCACTGTTACAAGTATTATGTTAATTGTGTGAAGTGTATTTATTATTACAAGTATTATGTTAATTGTGTGAAGTGTATTTATTATTACAAGTATTATGTTAATTGTGTGAAGTGTATTTATTATTATAAGTATGGTGTTCATTGTGTGAAGTGTATTTATTATTATAAGTATGGTGTTAATTGTGTGAAGTGTATTTATTATTATAAGTATTATGTTAATTGTGTGAAGTGTATTTATTATTACAAGTATTATGTTAATTGTGTGAAGTGTATTTATTATTACAAGTGTGATGTTAATTGTGTGAAGTGTATTTATTATTACAAGTGTGATGTTAATTGTGTGAAGTGTATTTATTATTACAAGTATTATGTTAATTGTGTGAAGTGTATTTATTATTACAAGTGTGATGTTAATTGTGTGAAGTGTATTTATTATTACAAGTATTATGTTAATTGTGTGAAGTGTATTTATTATTACAAGTGTGATGTTAATTGTGTGAAGTGTATTCACTATTACAAGTGTGATGTTAATTTGTGTGAAGTGTATTCACTATTACAAGTGTGATGTTAATTTGTGTGAAGTGTATTCACTATTACAAGTGTGATGTTAATTGTGTGAAGTGTATGCACTGTTACAAGTATTATGTTAATTGTGTGAAGTGTATTTATTATTACAAGTATTATGTTAATTGTGTGAAGTGTATTCACTGTTACAAGTATTATGTTAATTGTGTGAAGTGTATTTATTATTACAAGTATTATGTTAATTGTGTGAAGTGTATTTATTATTACAAGTGTGATGTTAATTGTGTGAAGTGTATGCACTATTACAAGTGTGATGTTAATTTGTGTGAAGTGTATGCACTATTACAAGTATAATGTTAATTGTGTGAAGTGTATGCACTATTACAAGTGTGATGTTAATTTGTGTGAAGTGTATGCACTATTACAAGTATTATGTTAATTGTGTGAAGTGTATGCACTATTACAAGTGTGATGTTAATTTGTGTGAAGTGTATGCACTATTACAAGTATAATGTTAATTGTGTGAAGTGTATGCACTATTACAAGTATTATGTTAATTGTGTGAAGTGTATGCACTATTACAAGTGTGATGTTAATTTGTGTGAAGTGTATTCACTGTTACAAGTATTATGTTAATTGTGTGAAGTGTATTTATTATTATAAGTATTATGTTAATTGTGTGAAGTGTATTTATTATTACAAGTATAGTGTTAATTGTGTGAAGTGTATTCACTATTACAAGTATTATGTTAATTGTGTGAAGTGTATTTATTATTACAAGTATAGTGTTAATTGTGTGAAGTGTATTCACTATTACAAGTATTATGTTAATTGTGTGAAGTGTATTCATTGTTACAAGTATTATGTTAATTGTGTGAAGTGTATTCACTGTTACAAGTATTATGTTAATTGTGTGAAGTGTATTCACTATTACAAGTATTATGTTAATTGTGTGAAGTGTATTTATTATTACAAGTGTGATGTTAATTGTGTGAAGTGTATTTATTATTACAAGTGTGATGTTAATTGTGTGAAGTGTATTTATTATTACAAGTATTATGTTAATTGTGTGAAGAGTATTTATTATTACAAGTGTGATGTTAATTGTGTGAAGTGTATTTATTATTACAAGTGTGATGTTAATTGTGTGAAGTGTATTTATTATTACAAGTATTATGTTAATTGTGTGAAGTGTATTTATTATTACAAGTGTGATGTTAATTGTGTGAAGTGTATTTATTATTACAAGTATTATGTTAATTGTGTGAAGTGTATTTATTATTACAAGTGTGATGTTAATTGTGTGAAGTGTATTCACTATTACAAGTGTGATGTTAATTTGTGTGAAGTGTATTCACTATTACAAGTGTGATGTTAATTTGTGTGAAGTGTATTCACTATTACAAGTGTGATGTTAATTGTGTGAAGTGTATGCACTATTACAAGTATTATGTTAATTGTGTGAAGTGTATTTATTATTACAAGTGTTATGTTATTTGTGTGAAGCGTATGCACTATTACAAGTATGGTGTTAATTTGTGTGAAGTGTATTTATGATGTATAAAACTTTAAGTAGATATATCTTCATTACTGATACGATTCTTATTAACTACCCAAAAGTAGTAAAGATATTGCCGCTAAGGTTTATATTACAGATATCCTAATGTGACTGGATAACCTTTGGACGTGTTATTATAGGTTTGTTGTCAAGCTGTGTTAATGTATTAATGATATGAACCTAAACTATTTTCATTAGTTATAAACACAGAGTAAAGATAAACGAGTTAGATTTTTAATAACTTGCTTATTTAGATAGTACGACAGGTGCTTGTTGGTACATACATGTAAACAAGTTCAGATGTTTATTTAGATATTACGACAGGTACTTGTTGGTACATACATGTAAACAAAATAAGCTCCGATGAGGAGATGCATCTTTTTTTATCAAGAAAAGTAAAGTAAAAATAATGAGATATATGTGTGACGGCGTCCTTTAAGCTGACGTAATTAGAGACTGTAGCAAGTCTATTGTTAGGGGGGATGTACGAAGTCTATTTATAATTATATACATCGAAATCCCTGTCGGCTGTGTAAAATATTTCAATTAAACCAAACAATCCAGTATCCTTAAACTTTTCAACTTCTTATCTAACGTTTATCTAATTAAAGGCAATTTTTTTGCACATGTCATAGGGAAATTAGACGAAAACCTGTAGTGTTTGGGAGATAGCTACACATAGTGGGTGTGGTTACAATAACGGGAATCACATCGCACTGCGATAAATGTATGATAGACAACAAAACAGGAGTTATATTTGTAGTTCTTTATTTGAAATAAAAATATATTGCACTTTTTATGACACAAAATGAAAAAGATGTACATGTGTGTGGAGTAAAAAAGTGTAACGGGTCAAAGGTCAGAAAAGGCCGACCATTTTTACAAATATACAAAGCAGACTCATTAAATATTCTCCAGTATAAAACGTAAACGCCATGAATTGTATGATTAGCAAAAATTAGTATTTTAAGGTGCACAAAGCAACTGGAACTAAATATTTTTTCATTGCATGTTTTAAATTCCGGTACATCGTCCTACTTCAACTGCTTGTGGTTTCACTGATTTGGTTTTTAGAATGTAAGTTGTGCCATATTTTATTCTATATAAGAATAAGTTAGATTTATATACTATAATATAATGACAATTCAACTGAATATACATATACAAAAATTACCCTAGTTATTTACAGGAAAACATCATTAGTTATAAATACATATATATCTTATGTACAATTAAGCATACCAAACTATGACGAGGGATGTAAAATGTAGCACATACGACATAGAAGTATACGAGGACAGAAAATAAAAGGTACGACACAGATATAAAGGAAAGGGATACAAAACATCTCGAGATAGTTAAGAGAATAGATAAAGGTAAGAACGATTTCGGGGCAATTAAAACGGAATAACGAAGGAAAAAACAAGGTACATGAAACGAGACAGAAAAATACGAGAAACGAGATCTGACAAAAGGAGAAAAGGTAACGACGAAACGAGAACAGACAAAATAACGAGGGAAATATCACGAGGTAACGACAAAAGACAAAATAACGAGGGAAATGGTCTCAAGGTAACGACGTCCAACAAAACATACTTACAGGCCAATGGTAGTATAGCTTTGTATTAAAGTTATCCATTGTACCTACGTATACCCCCTCTACAGTCTGTGTACAATACAGGATGGACAGAAAAACAATCGTGTTCTATCTTATGTCTATCTCGATCGATCTTTGAGTCCCAATAACTTTACGTTCTAAATATATTTATGATAACAGAATGAGATCAACATGTACTGTTAGATATACTTTCGGTCAGTCAGATTCACCATTCCGAATACGATGTACGCACATTGTATACAACGTATGCTTCATACATATAGCAATGTACACATCGCAGAAATACACTGTGTATATATCTATGTATATATACAATGTATGATTTAATCCCATATACAATAGGTAGTAGGTGCATGTATATACTGTATAGTTATCATACACAGCACAACAATGTTCATGAAAAGTACACCAAAATATACAGTTTCTATATTGTTAACAATGATTCAATGTAAACATGATACAATGTAGACAATGATACAATGTAGAAATTAATACAATGTAGACAATGATACAATGTAAACATAATACAATGTAAACATGATACAATGTAGACAATGATACAATGTAGAAAATAATACAATGTAGACAATGATACAATGTAAACATGATACAATGTAGACAATGATACAATGTAAACATGATACAATGTAGACAATGATGAACATGATACAATGTAGACAATGATACAATGTAAACATGATACAATGTAAACATGATACAATGTAGACAATGATACAATGTAGACAATGATACAATGTAGACAATGATACAATGTAAACATGATACAATGTAGACAATGATACAATGTAGACAATGATACAATGTAAACATGATACATTGTAGAAAGCAAGGCTATTGTGATGGCACCCGTTTTAGCGTTGAAGTATAGACTAGTGGAATAACAACGTCACTGTCTGGTTATATCCACTGATGTATCACCTGAGTCAGAGAAAAAAGAACTGTCAAAAGAACTATTGCTTGTTTCCTCAAAATTTGGCTTTCCTTCCCGATTGAGAGCTTGTAACATTCGAGCACTATGTTCCTGTGCTTTGGCCCGTAAAGCAGCGATACTTTCCGACCGGAACTCATCTTTATGTTTGTCATCTGTTCCCTCCTCTTCCGTATTCTCTTCCTCTTTCATCTTTTTAGACGCTTCGATAGACTTCTTGTGCATACCTAGGTGGTGGATAAACAAAACAAAGAAATCAATCACAGTTTACTGCAGTACATTTGTATGAATGTGTCTATGCAGATAAAGCTTCAGAAATTATTACGAACACTTATAGTCATCACGACATTCAACTCTATGACGTACCCAACAGCCACGGTGCGTTTGACTTGTCGATGCCTTTGTTAGCTGATTTCAGGATAGATTCCGGAAGCGGAAGTGCATGTCTAACCATGGCTCCGTACAGACCATATTCTGCCATAATGCTACTTTTCCCCCAGGTCTTCTCGCTCTTTCGCCATTTTGCTCGTCTGTTTTGAAACCATACCTAGAAATATAAACAAATTCACTAATTATTTTGATTTGAGACCTACACTTTCGGGGTTATTTTCTATTTTCAAAATCGAACAGAATTTCATTTCCTATCTCCTGTAAGAGCAAAGCTTGAAACAATTAGGTGTTTCAACAATACATTATATTTTGAATGTAATTATCTGAGGAATACTAACGTACAGAATTAAACATATGCATCTGCTGTAATGACAAATTATCATAATTAGAGGTAAAACCTTGGAATTTTGAAAAACAGAAAAAAACTCACAGTGTAAACAGAGATTTTTTTATCAAGAAATTACACTACGCTTAAACTAAACTATGTTAGTCAGCGATAGGCAAAGCAAAATATCTACTGAATGTATGAGAAAGTCAGCATTACGCCAACCAACATGTCATACAAAGCTTTGGCTGACGTCACCGGGTTTTATAATTTGAACCTGTCCGTATAGAATCACACATGCCGCTTATCTGAGACTTTATCGTGCGTATCTATTAGATAGATGTTGGAGGCGATCACGCAGTACAGAGCTGTCAGTTGCCTAGTCCGTTATTCCCGTGTAACCACGAATCTGGAAGGGACGAGCACGTCAAATTTCCTCCCCTATCTTGAGCCAACAGAATAAATAAACACACTTTGCTGTGTAAATTTTGATAGCAACACTAATTACCCCACGATTTTGACGTTCGCCAATAATTCCTCATGCCGGGATTTTGATTTTTGTCTCTGATTGTGGCAAAGTTTTGGGTCTCAAAGTGCACGTGACAACCTATCGGGTGTCGGGTTAATACAAGGTTAAAATAACTTGACCTTGAATCCCGGGTTGTGAGGGAGGGGCGAGAGAGGGGAAGGGTATACGGCTGTATTTGCAAGGTCTTTGTACGGTTTGTGGAATATAGAAGTTGTTTTCTTTTCATATGCATCAAAGATAAACGAAAATTGAAAACAGATAGACAGGGAACGCATGCCTCCAACTGTATTTACACAGTTTAAGTAGAGATAAATCTTTTTTTGTATTATCTCAGATATCTTAAGCATCAAAATTCCAAGGCGATATCAAAGCTTGATCAATAAACAATCATTGACTTTTCAAACGTATACACCAAGTCCTCGAAATGAAATTGTGGATAAAATTTAGAACGTACATTTCAAAACATTATAATAAACAACACGTAATTGTGTTTTTTCCGTGTAATCGGTCATTTCTGTGGTCCTCTGTCAATATCCTATTATATATGTGTACCTGAATACGATCCTCAGGGAGATCAATCTTCAGGGCCAACACCTCCCGAGTGTACAGGTCAGGGTAATGTGCCTCCTTAAATGTCTTCTCCAGTTCGTCACTCTGGTAACTCGTAAATATGGTCCTACATCAAAGAGAATAAAATATTACATTAAAATAACGTATTTAATACTGCTTCCATGTAGTTGACTTTAAATTTGTGTTCTATTAGTATGTTTACATAAATAACGAGCTGTACATATATAACGAGATGTACATATATAACGAGATGTACATATATAACGAGCTGTACATACACTTCTTTTTGATATCCAAGATTTTAGTAACTTTATATGTCTGTGACGGCAAGTTGTAAATTTGTCTTTGAAAACAGAATTATATTTGTTGTTTCATAAATAATAATGGCATGCATCTTTTAGAATATGGTGACATCAAAGTCGTATAATTGAAAGTATTGCTGGTAACTCTTCACAGCCATCGACAGCTTTAATTAAAACTCCGGGTAAAAATTCCGACTTACAAGGAAAGTCATGACGGGTAATTGGTGTCGGGTTTGTGCTGATTGGGCTGTTTATCTCGGCGCATGACACCAAATCGATCTGTAGCTTACCGCACTTCGCTTCCGAATAATCCGGTCATTTCATATGATACTAAATTGGAAAATGTAATGGGTAATTTTGCTCATTACCGACAACCCGTCACTACAAATACACATCGTTATTTATTTGACATCAGCAGTTCAACATGCGATTGTCATGCCCTGCCATTCTGTTTCGCCATAATCGGGACGTGATCAGCGAACTCTTCAGCGTAAAAAGATTGGTAAGTGAGTCGACCAATGGCGCGCTGTAATTGTTCAATGGTTTACTCTGGCGAGCTCATTAATTTACGCGCTAGACAATGGACCGCCTGCTAGCAAGACTGGTTATGGTAATGAATTGTTCAGTTTTTGGTTAGCTGGTGTCACAGATTAAGTTACAATGTAATACCGATATTGGAAAGTAATTACAGACGGGAGACGTACAACGATATTGTATTCTCAGAAATAAAGGAAGTGGTCAAGACGGTATTGAAAGACTCTGGTGAGCAGCGTCGTTTCTTTTTGAAAAATGATTACAGGTTACAGTGTTCCTTTAATCAGTCAAGTCAATGTAATATAAATTTAGTTGTGTAGTAAAAACAGGATCACCGAATACTTGATGACCGGTAGTGCTATGTACATTGTATTACAATGTATTGTTTCATTTGATACTGTATTACTATAATATACTGTCATTACGATGTGATATGTTATGCCCTATAGTCCACTTAGGAAGTCATTTTAGTAATCTTTATCTATATCGGTAGTTTTGTAAACAGTGAACAAAGCAAGTATCATTTATGGAAAAAAATTGAACGTGAAAACGAGAACTTTTATTTGTATATTTCCTTTTATAATCTTGGTTGTGATTCTTAAGACAGAGTGTATCCTCTGGGATATGGTGATAAGTGAACGCTCTGATTATAATGGGAATCCGCCTGATAAAAACCTTGGAGTTGGACAAGATATAAAATGAACTGCTACACACGAGGAAAAGTGACTCCGACCGCAACACCTGTAAAAGTGACTAAAGCCTTACCTATGTCTGCGTCTCTTCTTCTGTTTCTTGCCGTGGCCACCACACTCCGACTTCTGTATGTGTGCACATTCTGGTCTCTGGGGCACTGTAAGCACAAAGCGGCCATTGAGTGGATTTTTTTTTTTTTTTCATTTCAACATATATGTATATTTATCAGTCGGTTTATTCAGGGACCAGTTCAGTGCTTTTGTAAGACGTTTGCATTAGACGGAGTATATCTCTTAAATATTACATATACTCAAGACAGACATAACGGACAATTCTTGACAAAAACGTGGCTGCCTGTATTTTGAAACCCCTCTCAACATCATGTTTTCTATAAACATTCTAACGACAGAACGTTATCGTTATGTAATGTCACACTTATAGTTATGTATGTTATAGTAGATATTTCATTGTTTCCCCTTTGATAAATACATTTCAGGATTATGGCAGAATATCCATTTTTTAACGGTTGCGAAGCACAGTGAAAAATATAGATTGTGTCTTCCATATAAGTGAAATGTATGTGATAATTAACGGGAAACCATCAAATTTTCTTGGGTTTTTTTAAGTCTTAAAGGAAATAAACAGAAGGAAATATCCGAGCCAACACATAAGATAAAGGGGTGTTTAACAAAAAGGTTTGGGAAATCATAGCGCGGTCTCTGACCTCAGAGAATTTGACGTTTCGCTTGACAAGACGCCGCCATTTTA